CTAAAACTAACACTCTCCAGACAAGAATGCAAAATAGAGTTAATCTGTTTAGGATATCGAGATACGAGTATTTCGAGGAGATATAAACCGACCACAACTGTGAAACCCGTCTATAATGCATTACGTGCATATGCCACACCAAGCCTGGATAAGCAGGTGTGAAGTTCAATTTGTGACTTCATCTTCCAAGTCATCTCTCTTTAACACTTCGGTGAAACCCACGAGCACGGGTATGGTACTGACAAACCTAGACACATAATCGGGGCGAACAGGGATTCGAACCCACAATCATAGGTTTCTGGCGTGTCCAAGGGACGTAACTCTGCACAGCGAATCGCGGCACCTTAGACGACTGGGCCACACGTGCCCCCCTTAAATCTGAACGAGCTTTGAATATTAAAGCTTGTTTGTTGTTTAACGCCGCACTAGGAAATATTCCACCTGTATGACGGCTGCTGGTCTATAATCGAGACATCAACAGGCAAACCAGTGATTGATATTGTAAGCAACAATCCACGTGGTCGAGGTACGATGGCACTATTCAACCAAGAAATATACGGCATACGCTGTTTTTTATTGAATATACTTCTTTATATTTACATGCATCACGCATGCCTGGACAACATAACACAGGTCATACAATACTAGCATACAATCCAAGTGCACGTGACCAGTTCCTTGACCGTGCAGCGCATATCACGATGAGCATGCAATCAAAGTCCGAGGTAATGGTAGCTGTCAGCAAACTCGATTGTCACGTGACCACAGCTGTAAATCCCGTTATGTACATTGATTGTCTTTTTGATGTTCAATCTCCACTTTCGCCTCCATGCATAGAGGATGTTTATCAACTCCGCAGCACGATCGTTGATACATATTGCACACAATGAAGGCGATCAGGCGCATCCTTGCTTTACACTCGACTGTGCGTGGAAAATACCCGTTTCATGCTTGTTAACTTGCACCGAGCACAATAGATTGTCATTCATTGATCTGATGGCTTGTAGAAGATTCTCCAAGCTGCCATATTCCAAGCGTGTGAAACATAATAATACCCTGTTTACAGAATCAAAGGCCGTTTAAATGTTTATGAAACATGTAAACGTGTTTTGTTTCATGTTTTTTGGTGTTATTAACAATACTATGAATACTTTACACATAGTCTAAACAAGATCGTATTCTGAATCAGTTCTGTTCGTTTACAAGGATATATTGGGCTTCAAGATATCGGGACCGCCTCCGTGGTCTAATGGTAGAGCGTCCGCCCAGAGAGCGGAAGGTCCGGGTTTCGATCCCCAGCCACGTCATACCAAAAGACGTTGAATGATGGTACTTGTTGCTACCCTGACTGGCGCTCGGCATGAAGGGGCTAATACAAGGACTGTTCGGCTCGGAATCAGTATACTGTGTCTGAGTGGGGTATTCATGTTAAACTGCGGCATGGTATCTCAGTGTGCTAGCACTATAAATTGGCATCAGTCCGGACTAGTACAAGCAGCCACACAAACACACACGAGCATGCACGTCGCTATGTAAGTGCAATAATCTTGGACGCGACATTAAACCCCATTTCACCTCGCCTCAAGATATCGGCATCGCCTCTGGTTTATGACACATGCGTATATCTTGGAGGGGATGGACAAGATGGTGAGTGGTCTGTACCTCAAGGGGTCGGGTGGGTTAATATCATTTTCCTAATCTGGTTTCATCTTGCCTCGATTCCAGACGCTTGGCTTCCACCCTGTGTCCAACATGTGTGATTGAATTCTTTATATTAATTCCTTACATACATCTTTTTCTAACACGAGTCCTGTTGCCCTCCCAATCAGAGATTTGTACACAGCAAGTTTAACTTCATTCCTGGTAATTGAACCATTTTGAGTCAAGTCTATTTGTTATCGCTGCAAGGTGTTCGTCATCGAAGCTTCCTGCAGTATTGTGTGAAGGATTATGTAAAGTCTTGTCATCATCCTCCCGCTTGGTCAAGACCGCATCTGCATCAGTATCTCTGACCCATGAATAGCAACAATTTCTATAGGAATAACAGTCTTTCTCTCGTTACCAGTTCCACGTTTTCCCCGGATCTTTCAAAAGATACTTTAATACTGTGTTGATTGGTCAGACTTATTGACCCAGGGTCAGAGTGACAGATATAAACATGGGGTGAAGCAGGTCACTGGAAGTACTTGCCCCTCACCATGCCTGCTACGTGTAGGAAAACTGTTAGTGAGATTCAACATGGCAGAGAGAGAAAATATAATATCTATATTGTATTATAATATATTATATTATATTATATTATATTAACACGAGTTAATATATTGCTTGTTATGAAGAGAATAATACATTTATGCCAATAGGATTGGTCCTGGGTTCCAACCTTGGTCCAGCCTTGCCTCTGGAAACTTTGATCCTGGATCATAACATGGAAAGGGTTCACGCTGCTAATTTATTTATAAACCTGTGTCAGTCTCAAGAGAGAAATTTCAGTCTTGGCGATTAAGTCTTTGTGTTTTTGCCAATCCCGGTGGATATTGTACCAGAGTGTGATACTCATGAGAATCGTGATTTGTTCAAGTCCGATGGCATTGCTGATTATGCTAGCCCTAAGCTAAACAATTCTGATTTAGTGCGTCATGATGAAGATGTAGGTCACGCTGTGTCTGTGAAACAACATCCCCACCGTATGAATCCAATTGAACGCGAATCTCTGAAGAAGGAACTTTAATACATGCTGGACAAAGACATTACAGCCAATCTTGGGGGTGTCAAAGTTTACGTTGAAGATGTCAGCATTCATTCCATGGAGTGGGACGAGCACCGGAAGAGGATCTGTGCCTTCTTCGATAGACTCACTGAAGCCAAGTTGACTATAATTTAGTGAGAAGTGAATTTGCACAGGCACATGTTCAATTTTTTGGTCATGTCATATGCCATGGTCAGGTACAGCGCGTACAAGCAAAGGTAGAAGCTAGTTCAAAATTCCAAGTTCCACCAAACAAAAAAGAACTTATGAGATGTTGGGGTATACCTGGTTACTACCGTAAATTTTGCCAAACTTTCTAACATGTGGTTGCCCCTCTCACTAATTTGCTGGGCAAAAAGGTGGCATTCGTTTGAAACAGAAATTGTCAGGCTACTTTTGAGAATATAAAAGCCATTCTCATAAATTTTCCTTTCTCCAAGCACGAAACTTTGAAACATCTTTCAAATTGGCAGGAGATGCTAGTGACATTGATGCCGGGGCTGTCCTGTTGCAGGAAGATGCATCATTCTTAGATAGTCCTGTCCCAGTCGTCTAAGGCGCCGCGATTCGCTGTGCACACTCTATTGTGTGCAGAGTTGCGTCCCTTGGGCACGCCAGAAACCTATGATTGTGGGTTCGAATCCCGGTTCGCTTTGATTATGTTTCTATATTTATCCGCACCATACCCGTGCTCGTGAGTTTCACCGAAGTAGTAAACGTCTGAGACCTGCGTCACTTCGGGCTTTCCTCCCTCATTAAACTGACACGCCGTGATATAACTGGAATACTGTTAAAAGCGGGGTTCAACCCAACTCACTCACTCACTCTTGGGAACTACTTTGTTTCCTATTCAAGTGTACACTTATCACAATCCACTGACTTTCCTTCTTAAAATAAAGAACAAACACCAACGGCTCATGCACTGGAGACTGTCTTTGCAGGAATTGGATTTTGACATCAAGCATATCAAGGCAAAGGCAACATTATTTCTGATGCATTATCTCGACTTGAACGTGATCAATTCTGACTGCAAACATGATTTGCATTCTGTAAACATTTCTCAGAATATTGTGCTAGCACCCTATTGTACAGCCATTGTAATTGCTGCGCAGTTGTTTGTATTGATAAACTTAGTAAATGTTTCTGAGCCCTTCTGTCAATTTTGGAAATGCAGAAGGCTGTCGTGTTGAGGAGTCCATATTTCCTGAAACATTCTTCCTGGAAAAAGTCCAATTTGCATTCCGGGCTCTGTGTGCGTGTGCGTGTGCGTGTGCGTGTGCGTGTGCGTGTGCATGTGCGTGTATCCAGCGTACCCAGCGTGTACTAGTGGGTCCAGTATGTCATTTAAGCTTTGGGCTTATTTAGGCTGCCAATATGTTACAGAAATCGTCAATCTCATTCGTTATGTATTTCGGTCAAATATTCCCGAAAGAGCACCCCACCAGTTTCCTTATGGTCAATAACGAACGCTGCTTTCTAATTTATAAACCTTTGTCAATACAAATCACTTGTTATACCCACTGGGTGTTCTCACACGTCAGAATCATCCGACATCAATAGGTAAAGTATGACCCTATTGTTCGGTTCATCACAATAGTTATTCGATGGTGACGTATTTGATACGGGAATCATAGTTGTGTTTTGGATCCTATGTTTGCAGTGTTCGGGGGACTCTTTTCAGCCTAGTTATCTTTTGAATACATTTGTAACGTTTAGGTCAAACCCTTTTTCCAAATGTATACTTTATCTTGCCCGGGGGTTTATATAGAAAAGTAATTATTTACTTGTCATGATTGGATAATCGAGAAAAGAATAAAGTGCCGTTGTTAAAAAACGTTGTTTCAGTATAGGCTCACCCTGTCAGAGAAAATAATTAAATAATTATTGTCTCAAAGGAAATGCTTGAGTTGGTGTATGTCCTTTAACGCTGCAACCAGAGACATGTCGTCAATGATACTAGTGCGTCCAAATGCCACTATGAAATAAAAATGAATTTAAATTATTAAGTCGTTAGACGCATGGTAAAGATTCACGCAGATTGGGGACGCAAGGGGGAATTACAAATTGCCAGGTCTTTGTGTCTCTGGATGCTCTGATAATAGATCATACGCGCGAACAACTTCATTGTTTAACACTGGTGTTCCTTTCAGCAAATTCAAATACACACTGCGTTTGAATAATACCCGAAACAGCACGTGTATTGATACCGAGATTGTATGTTGCACTTAGAAGTTACAATGTTCCTATAGAAACAATCAAGCCATGTCGTCACTTGTCTCCGTGCGACATCTACCGTGTACATCTACTGTGTGCATAAGTTCTTAAATATTGATTGCCGTGAATTCTACGTCAATTGTCAAACCTTGGTTTGACTACACGGCGATGTTGTACCTTCAGGAATAGATGTGGCGACTACCACTGTATCAGGAAGAGGGATATTATCTGACATTGGTAATACGTCCTTAATCCAAGGGATACTTTGAACATCCAAAATCAGAAGACTCTCGAGGATCACCATGATAGGAGGGATGGAAATTTCATTGAATGTTATTACGACACTCATTTTTTTGGTTAAAGAAGTTTTTGGAAGTGGATGCGGAGGCAGTTTTGAGAAAAAAGGGAAAATACTTCATCCTACGAGTAATGGCGGCTTCCTCCTGACCAGTCCGGGCAATACAGTGGACTGTGCTTCTCGGTGCTGGGGGAGAGAGCAGTGCTGGTCATTCTATCATAATCCCACTGACCAGGCGTGTTTCCTCGCCTCCAGATACCAGACCGTTGTTCCAGATACGTCCTACTCAGATACCGCTCAGAACTACTTTGATCTTTACAGAAAGCCAGGTAACGAATCTTATATTTCGCGGTTTCGAACAAATCGGATAGTCCAGAGAAAAAATATTTGAACAGTCCATAATTATTTGTTCATTCCTGAAACAATATTTCTAGATTTCATCTGTCTGAATGTGAAGGTGAACTGAACCACCATTCAAATGAGCAACTGTAAAGGGTCATGTATATTACAACTGTCAAGGGGATTTTAACATTGTCTCTGTTCTTTTTGCACTGTGCCCAATATCGATATCCGTTAAGCCAGAATTTGTTTTCCGCATTTCTGTCACTTATAGTGAGGATATAGAGGCAGAATTTGCTTTTATAATGACGGTATTATTTGTTTTGAAAGGTTCTGATAAGAAGTCTATTTTGGTGTGTCTTCATTGGACCGAGAGTCCATCGGACATACTTTTGTCAGTCATTCTTAGACCCGTTAGAATTCCAAACTTCCTCGCCAAATGCACATGTCCTGTCCTCAAATGTCACATGGATGATATATATGAGGAAGTACTGCATTCACATTTTGTTTTCTCAGTAAATTTGAGATGACATTTCCTTTCATTTTTACAAATTGTTCCGAGGTGAGGTGAAATGGGGTTTAACGTCGCGTCCAAGTTATTGCACTTATATAGCACGTGTGTGTGTGTGTGTGTGTGTGTGTGTGGCTGCTTGTACTAGTAGTCCGGACTGATGCCGATTTATAGTGCTAGCTCACTGAGATACCTTGCCGCAGTTTAACATGAATACCCTACTCAGACACAGTATACTGACTCCGAGCCGACCAGTCCTTGTTTTAGCCCCTTAATGCCGAGCGCCAGACAGGGTAACAACAAGTACCGCCTTTTAACGTCTTTTGGTATGACGCGGTCAGGGATCGAACCCCGGACCCTCCGCTCTCTGGGCGGATGCTCTACCACTAGACCACGGAGGCGGTCTCAAATTGTTCCGAACCTTTGAATATAGAGATGCAAGATTGTCTGTGGCCATCGCGCTGGGTGATAAATGGGGGCGGTCGGGTAGCCTAGTGGTTAAGACCCGGGTTTGATTCCCGACAATGTGTGAAGCCCATTTCTGGTGTCCCCCGCCGTGATATTGCTTGAGTATTGCTAAAAGCGGCGTAGAACCATACTCACTCACAAGTCTTAAATGTATACTGTTTGAAACGGCATTGAAGAAAACTCATTTATTCACTCACTGACATTAAGCTGACGGACCTTGATACCATTGGAATGCCGTTCACTCTCCCGAAATTTATTCTTTTAACACTCTGTTTAGGTGGATACTCTACTTGCAAAGAACTTCAACTGGCCAACTCAAATGCAACGGATTCTGATTACTGGTTGTATCCTGCAGCAAGTCATGTCCACTACAATATTGTCAAGGTGTACTGTTACGGTATGGGGACCAGCAACCCGCAAGAGTATATTAGTCTGCCCACGCTAAACACAGGGGAATATCCTAACGAAACCTACCAAAAATGCGTCACTCATGTCTTCACCCTGACGGGTTGCCCTGGAAAACAGGGCGTCTATACCTACAGCAAAATAAAGATCGACCCAAGTGTAAGTCACATCGTGGTGTTGTGTGATGCTTATATTACCTTTGCGTGGAGTTTGCACACCTCCTTTCTCACTTTACGGGAGACCCCTGAAGATTCCAGGGTAGAATAGGTCTTCCGCAACCCATGCTTGCCGTAAAAGGCGACTATGCTTGTCGTAAAAGGCGACTAACGGAATCGGGTGGTCAGGCTCGCTGACTTAGTTGATGCAGGTCATCGATCCCAATTGCGTGGATCGATGCTCATGACATCAATCACTGGATTGTCTGGTCCAGACTCGATTATTTACAGACCGCCGTCGTATAGCTGGAATATTGCTGAGTGCGGCGTAAAACAACAAACCAACCAACTACTTTACGGGATAAGGTGATCGGGCTTGGTTGACAGAGTGGCGTCTTGTGGCTACCCGGATTGTCTGGCCCAGACTCAGATATAACTGATATAACTGGAATACTGTTAAAAGCGGCGTTAACCCCAACTCACTCACTCACTCTGGCCCAGACTCAATTGTTTAAAGGCTGCTCTCGTATGACAGTAGTATTGCTTGGTGCGGCGTTGTGCTACCCAATATCCCATGATTTTCTTCCCGAAGAGATTTCGCGACAGAGGAGATCACCTGTAAACCATGTTTGTCCCCACGTAGGCATTTCGGTGTATAAGCTTAGGTGTATAAGCTGTAATAAGTCACAGGTATATCCCTCGGGAAATACGATTTGATGTTCCGACTGTGTGGCCGGCCGTGACCACGAAGGTAAATCAAACCTCATTCCTTCGTGATAAGCCTATGACTTATACAGCTTATCCTGGCTAACGACAAGGGAATTGGAATGTTCTGAAAACAATGACATTGGCATTAAAACCAGGAGGACATTATGACCAGGGACGTTTGGTCTGCAGAAACCCGTGATGAGAAAAAAAGCAACACGGCATTATAAGGAGGGAGGACGTCTGTGCTATTATTCTCATATTGTTCTTATACAAGGGGCACGGGTGGCCCAGTCGTCTAAGGCGCCGCGATTCGCTGTGCAGACTTGCGTCCCTTGGGGCACGCCAGAAACCTATGGTTGTGGGTTCGAATCCCGGTTCACCCCGATTATGTTTCTAGGTTTGTCAGCACCATACCCGTGCTCTTTGGTTTCACCTAAGTGGTAAACGTCGGAGACCTGCATCACTTCAGGCTTCCCTCCCACATTTAGCTGACACGCCGTGATATAACTGGAATACTGTTAAAAGCGGCGTTAAACCCAACTCACTCACTCACACTCACTCTTATTCTTATCTGCAGACTATGCATGTGGACAGGGCTACCAGGACCTTCATGACAGTGTCCGGGAAACCACGAGACTACGCATGGGTTGGAGATTGTTACACGGAGCTGGACAACACTTACACGTGCGGCCCTAAAGGAAGTTTCACAATCAACACCGACGGCACAGGTCTTATTGTCGATCCCGCGGTAAGCGTAGAAATACTATCTCAAAGTCGAAAAGACAACCCGGATAAAACATTAACACTACTTAGAGAAATACAAACCCAACCAATGAGATGTGTGCTATTTTATTTCCTTTCATGACCATATTCAGGCTCAAACAAGCCTCGTGAAATACATTGGAAATATGATGACGTGTAGTTGTCCGATTTTCGATCACGAACGTTGATACTACTTAATTTCGTTTATCCGACATACTCGTTAATCCGACATAATCACACGCAACCATCGATGTCGGATTAACGGGACTTGGCTGTATAACTAATGTGATCTCTGCATGCGCTCGGTACCCCCGCAGTGTTTGTACACACTCGTTAAGTTGGACAAAGGATGCTCGGTACGTTAGCGAGGGATATTGTATTTCATGTGGTCATTGGGAAGAGTGAGTGAGTTGGGTTCAACGTCGCTTTTAACAGTATTCCAGTTATATCGCGGCGTGTCAGCTTAATGTGGGAGGAAAGCCCGAAGTGATGCAGGTCTCAGATGTTTGCCACTTCAGTGAAACCCACGAGTAAGGGTATGGTGATGGCAAATATAGAAACATAATCAAAGCGAGCCGGGATTCGAACCCACAATCATAGATTTCTGGCGTGCCCAAGGGACGCAACTCTGCACAGCGAATCGCGGCGCCTCAGACGACTGGCCACACGTGCCCCCTCATTGGGAGGATTACACCTAAGCTTGTTTGTAACATTATCACTGTGGACCATTTGACGAAAAACTATTACGACAGAAACATTGTGCGTTAAATGCCGGTATACACGAACAATTTCAGTGCAGTGTAGAGTAACTTGCACCTTGCGTGTAAAAGACAGTTAGTAACCCTACAGTAACATGTGCATCGACGGAATCGATACCAAACTGCCGCATCAACAGGGTACCGTCTCTGTAACGACTGAACTAATATCCCTTGGCCCTAGACTAATTATTGTGGTAAGTATGTTGAATTTATGTCAGTACTTCGGAGTAAACAGTAGAAAAACAATCTGCAGGCCTTGGGTCTCATGGGTCTCCTCCCATTAGTAAGACAACCCAGTTGTGAGACACCTTAAAACAACAATGTCATACCTGGTTGCACATGTTAATCAGGTATTTAACCCCTATCATGAAAATGACTTGTCTTATTATAGACAAAAGGATTGACTCAAGATGCTTGATACCCTCTTTTACTTTATTTCATTCAACATTTTAATTCATCCATCCCTTAAATCCATTGTTTTAACATATTCGCCACTTAGAGTTCAGTTAAAGTTAATATCACAGTTCACATCACAGTTCACATCGAGGTTGTCACACTGACACAACCTTAATCCATCTTCAGAAGTTTGCGAACAGCATCCAAGAACTGGAGTTGTGTCTTGACACCCTGGCATAGCTGATCCTTCAGTCTGGAAAGGCGATTGTCAATCTGAGATAGCTTGGTCTTCTCAGATTTCTCAATCTTCTTGATGATCTCGATGAACCTGTAGAGATTAGGATGACGATGATTCAGTGATGCATTGAGGCAACTGTGGAAACCCTCTAGGTTGTTGTTAGTCCTTGGGCCGAATGTCTGGTGATGGTTCCACAGCGAAAGAGGGAATCTAGCTTCATGTAGACATTGTAGACAATGGAAGCTGACTGGAGGACTCTAAGCTGATCATCAGTTGCAAATACCAGCATCTTGTCTTCTTCACCGTCGGCAAAAAGCAGAAACCGCTCACCATCATGGGTCTCTCTCCAGGGTTCTGCAATGTCGACTTCAGCTCTGGTTTTAGGTAGTTTCGGGATGGTGTGACTGCGGTGTCTGTACATGGCGCTGCCGACTGAGCTGAAGGAGGAAAATATAGCTGCAGCCTCCGGATCATGTCTCAAGATCTCGTCGTTGTAGAGGGCTGACATAGGAGTGGATGGTTCTTCTCTTGCTCTCTTCCTTCAGCTGCCAAGGAACTGGATTCTGCTGGTGTCTTCTGGTGGGTGGTTGTGTACAGTGAAATTTCTAACAAAATTTCAAACTGTTGTACATTTGCCAATGCAGGTCTTAACGGTACATCGCCAATGAGTACCAGTTTGGCTTACTTTGTTCTTGTAGTGGAGATATCCCTGAAAGAGGACCTGGAGAGTACCTCTTTGACTGGTAATGAACTCAACCTGCTGCAAACCTGCCATGATTGTGCATGAAATGTTCACAGACTAGGGGGAATTTATATGTGTAATAAGTAAGTTTTAACAAAACATGCATCTCAACTTTTTGAGTAAGCTCTTACAAGCTCCTAACTCATTTATTTCCTGAGAATATTCAAACAGAATTACTGGCCTACTCTTATTAATTAATCAACTAATCATGGGCTGTGACCATTGTTAAGTGGGTAGACTGGCTGTGTTTGTTTAACTAATCCCACCTACTCCACTGTCTTACAATGGGTGTCTCACTAATGAGATGTCTTACTAATGGGATGTAACCAACTCATGAATTAATAACAAAAACAATCCATGCAATGCATTTGCAAGTCAAGGAACATTGATCCAAATACATTCATCTGTTCGGTTCAGAACGTGTCTCGGCGACTCGTGAAGAACCCCCGACCTACCGCTCTCCCGGGCAGACCTTGGAGGAGGTCTACAATCATATACTATCGAAAAAACCGACGTATGTCCAACACAGTTCAAACGTCTGGAACTCAAGACATAATATGTTGTGTGACGGACAAACATTCCCACTACCATTACTTCACGTTTCATTTAATTTCATATTGCATGAATCAAACCCGAATAGAAACACTTGAAGTACAGTCGGTTGTATTTCCATTAATTTCAAACCTAATATCCCTTGGCCCGAGACTAATTATGTTACAAATTTTTTGAGCACGTGAATTTTTGTTGTAAGTATCTTGAGGTTATGTTAGTACGTCGGAGTAAACATCGGAACAAAAACAATCTGCGGTCTAGACAACTAGAAGTTGTGCCATGACACATGAAATAAATTCCGCTATTTCATGCATTGCTGGCGCTCGGCGTTTAGGGGATAAAACAAAGTTTGAACAGTATATTGTGTGTGAATCGGGTATCCATGCTGGCACTATAAAACCGCCATTACTGACTAAACTACGGCGCAACAGAAAGTATACACCCATTGTTGATGGTGGCTAAAAATGAAACACAAAATATACTGAGTCAAATTTAAAACTTCACATTTTTAAAAGTAATCCCATATATGATATACAATGGACACATGTATCAGAGAAGGTAATTTTTAATCATTTATGTCCAAAGAAGGATTTTAATTAACGGTGGTAACCATTATTTGTTCCAAGCATCTACGGTATTCGGTAATAACATCAACAGTTTAAATCATAAGTCCAAAGCACGAGAATCCAATGGCACACAAGTTTAGTAGCGTGTATGGCCACCATGTGCGTTGACAATTGCCACACAACGCCTCCGCATGGACCTTGTGATGCTTGTTAACACATGATTGGGAAGACGACACCATTGTTGCTGCAAAATGGTGCCAAGATCTTGCAAATTCTGTGGTTGGTTCGGGAGAGTGCGCAGACTTCTGCCAATAGCATCCCAGACGTGTTCGATGAGATTGAGGTCGGGAGACCTTGACGGCCAGTCCATGACGTTGACTCCCGCATTCTGAAGGAAATTCCTTGACAAAATTGCTGTGCGGGATCTGGCATTGTCGTGTTGGAAGATCATCGCGGGTCCATGTGCTGCCATAAAAGGCAGAAGTTCTGGTGCCAGTACCTTGTCGCGGTAAGCAGCAGCGTTGAGGTTGCCATGGGTGACAAAAAGCCTGGAACGTGCATTGCCACAGAAAGCATCCCACACCATGACACTTCTGCCTCGAAATCTGTCAACTTCCTGTACACAACACTGGGCGTAGCGTTCATGACGGCGCCTCCACACCCTCGCCCTACCATCAGCAAATCGAAGCTTAAATCTGGATTCATGACTGAAGATGACTTGATTCCAATTCCTCTGAGTCCAACGAAGGGGCGCTGTGTCCACAATTGACGTTGACGTCTGTGTAATTGAGTCAGAATCGGCCCGCAGTATGGCCGTCGTGCTTGAAGGTGAGCAGTTCTCAGACGGTTTCCAACAGTTTGCGCACTCAGTCTACCCCTAAACAGTTCATTTCTGGTTGATGTAGCCGTCAAAAATCGGTTACGGAGGTGACGTAAGACAATCTGACGATCCTCTGCATGTGACGTCACACGTGGTCGACCTGGCCGAGGGCGATCAGCGGTGGTACCCGTTTGCTGTAGACGCGTCTGTAAATCACAACAGTCCGTCGACTACAACCAATCGTTCTTGCGGCTTCAGCTACGGACGTTCCCGTCTGCAACATGCCGATGGCACATTCACGTTGCACGTTTGAAAGGCGTGGCATGACAAATGGCCGTAAAGACTTTTGTTTTCTTGTGTTTTTCTTTTTTTTTTGTTAATGACAAAACAAGTATGGCTGAAAACACGTGCGGTATTATGGCCACGTGACCAGTTGCACGTGAAAAAACACTTTTGCCACTATAGTGCTTTGCCCTTGATTTTGATCGATTCACCTGCACAAAAACGGGTGTTATCTGAAGACAATACGTAGCCATTACTGTTTAAATACACAATAAGGGCCCACGATGATAACTGGTCAAAATGTTAAACTTTTAGGATTGTGAAGTTTTTAATTTGGTTCAGTATATTAACCCCACGGGTTGAAGAACGTCATCCCGGCCGCTGAGGTCGCCGCGGATGATGACAAGTCCCGACCGTTGGTTGCCACAAATACCTCCCCAAACCTTCACCGCACCGCAACCACATGGATGCACTTCTCGAATGCCAATCGCTCGCGTCGTCACACGTGATCTGCTTGATCCTGCCCTGCCTTGTGTGGCGCCGTCCGTCTGTGAAGTTCAAATAGTCTGACGATGGTTGCAGGTGTACAACTGAAGTTCCTTACAGTCTGGCTGTGGTTTGCACCCATTTCTATCCTTCCTGCGGCCACTGTTGTGCGGTAGAACGTAGCATATATCTGTTGTGCCTTTTCAATACCTGTGATGTTTTGGCAAAGACCCATTGCATTTTTCACCATTTCTGCACCTGCATGTCCACGGATATCTCAGTGAGTGAGTGAGTGTGTACTTTTTACGCCACTTTAAACAATATTCCAGCAAAATCATAGCGGGTTACACCAGAAATGGGTTTCACACATTGTAGCCATGTCGGGAATCGAACCCGTGTCTTCAGGCTACACGAACACCCCTCGGAAATCTGAAAAAGGCGTTTATTTATTTTCAAACCATAGGGTTGTATTTCGGGGACTGTTTTCAGCCAAGTAATGTTTTGATAACTTTTGTAGTTTTTTAATCAAACTTTCAAGGGTATACTTTCTATTGGCCGATAGTTAAGTACAAGCACTCACACACGTGCATACACGTCGCTCAGTGATTGAAATGAGCTTGAACGCGACTTTCATCCACACTTCTCTTTACCTCAACTTTCGTCACCACAAACGCAACCCGTTACCTACATTCAGCTTTATTCGTCACCACTCGCGCCTTTCCGTACCCTGCATTCAGCTTTACTCGTCACCACTCGCGTCTTTCCGTACCATGCATTCAGCTTTATTCGTCACCACTCGCGCCTTTCCGTACCCTGCATTCAGCTTGCGCAGAAATGCCGCGAGTGCAAGTTGGTGCACAAAGAGGAATCGACACTGGAACGTAGTTTGTTCATATGGTTTTGTCTGTTTGTTGTCTAACGCTGCACTCAACAATATTCTAGCTGTGACGGCGGTCTTTAAATAATTGAGACTGGACCAGAAAATCCAGTGATTGATATGAGTATCGATATACGCAATTTGGATTCGATGACATGCATCAACAAGTCAGCGAGACTGACCACCCGATCCCGTTAGTCGCCACGTACGACAAACATAGACGCCCTTTACAATTCAGCATGGATTGCTGAATTGTTCAAGTGGCACCACAACAAAAAAGCCCTTTGTTTCCTGCTTGGCTAAAGTTCTTTGTAAATAAATGCGACAAAACGATTTTCCATAATATTTGCTTAAAGCAGAGACCGTTGTACGATTCCGATTATGTCATAAGCATGTGGTTACTATCAGTTAGTGGTTATACAAGGTGTAAGCGACCCGTGAAGATCCGGGGTACAATAGGTCTTCAGCAACCAATGCTTACCGTAAAAGGCGACTATACTTCTCGTAGGAGGCGACTAACGGGATCGGGTGGTCAGCCTCGCTGACTTGGTTGAAGCATGTCATTGATCCTAATGGCATGGATCGATGCTCGTGATATCAGTCACTGGATTGTCTGGTCCAGACTCGATTATTTGCTGACCGCCGTCATATAGCTGGAATATTGCTGAGTGCGGCGTAAAACAATCAACCAACCAACCAAGGTATAAGCGTATCCTGCCCGACCGGTGGCACTCGTCACAAACACATACAAAAGCAAGCGTTCGTCTGAACAAACACGGAAATTCCAATGGCATTTATTTTTATTATTTTTATATGTTCATCAGCTTTTAAGATAAATTATCAACGGGTTTTAATTATAGTATTTAAAACGATTTATTTATATTGATAGCGGCATTAAATGAGGGTTTTTTTCCTTATATCTTTTGACTTATTTCAGGTCGGCGGAAATAGAGAAACCCCTTCTTTTCATTTTAGGGCGGATTCATGGTCTTAGTTTTATAAAAAAAACACGCCTGGCCTAAGATGCTGTTATTGTCAGTGCTCAGTTGCAATTGATGAACCTTGTGTCATAAATGAAAGACAATCGGCCCTGTGCGGAACTCGCTGTAGCGAGAAATGAAAAGCAAAGAATAAAATTATGCTCCTGAGAAAAGCATATTTACAAAGTCAGTAAGGAACAACCCCTGATGAATTAATCATGTTGCCACCGGGGCCGTTCCTGTTCACCAAACACCAGCATCTACACAAGTAGGAACTCGTCATTTGTATTCACTTAACTCAATTAACTTTACATCTTTTCTTGCCAACGTTCATGCTAAAATCATGACTGACCATCATCAGTACTTCTGAGAGTTCATGCACCATATTCCTTCAATTTACCGTGAAAAAACGCAGTGACTTTATGTCTTATCAACCAACGAAGCAAGATACGATCTGGTTTCAAAGGTTCAAGCAGTGAGATGACACATAGATGACAACACACTCACTCCTGTGAGTGAGTGCTCAGTTAACATTGCATGATTGCAGAAACAGCAAAATGTTAAGGATAAGGTTTGTTTGTTTATTTGTTGCTTAACGCCGCACTCAGCAATATTCCAACTGTGACGGCCGTCTTTCAATAATCGAGCCTCGGCCAGACAATCTAGTGATTGACATCATGAGCATCGATCCACTCAATTGGGAAACGACATTTGTAACGAATGTCCAGTTATGAGTGGGTTACATACAGCATCAAAGTAACAAAAACTGCGTAATAAGATATAGAATATAGCCTGAAAGCTAAAATAAATCAATAAATAAATGAAAATAAATACAACACAAATATACTGCACGGAAAGTTCATGCTGTACTTTCGCAAGACACGAGAATCTTTGACTTGGTGCTTCGATAAAATGTATGATGTACATGCGCCGGTGATTAACGTCTTTCGAACGTTCATGTACACAGAATACCTTCAACAAAATAAAATATTCTACTTAAAATACTCGCCGCCTATATTGTAAACATTTGATGACAATCGAATAATTACTTTATTGTCACCTTCACGTTGTTCACGGTTGGCCAGCCATCTTTAGTGCCGCAATTCGCTGTGTTGAGTTGCGTTAAGGGACGCAACTCAGCACAGCGAAAAGATGGACGCAACTCAGCATATCGAATAGAGGGACACAACTCAGCATAGCGAATAGAGTGACACAACTCAGCATAGCGAATAGAGGGACGCAACTCAGCATAGCGAATAGAGCGACACAACTCAGCATAGCGAATAGAGGGACACAACTCAGCATAGCGAATAGAGGGACGCAACTCAGCATAGCGAATAGAGCGACACAACTCAGCATATCGAATAGAGGGACGCAACTCAGCATAGCGAATAGAGGGACACAACTCAGCGTAGCGAATAGAGTGACACAACTCAGCGTAGCGAATAGAGTGACGCAACTCAGCATAGCGAATAGAGTGACACAACTCAGCGTAGCGAATAGAGGGACGCAACTCAGCATAGCGAATAGAGGGACGCAACTCAGCATAGCGAATAGAGGGACACAACTCAGCATAGCGAATATTGGGACACAACTCAGCATAGAGAATAGAGTGACACAACTCAGCGTAGCGAATATTTGGACACAACTCAGCATAGCGAATAGAGGGACACAACTCAGCATAGCGAATAGAGGGACGCAACTCAGCATAGCGAATAGAGGGACACAACTCAGCGTAGCGAATAGAGGGACACAACTCAGCATAGCGAATAGAGGGACACAACTCAGCATAGCGAATAGAGTGACACAACTCAGCGTAGCGAATAGAGGGACACAACTCAGCATAGCGAATAGAGGGACGCAACTCAGCATAGCGAATAGAGGGACACAACTCAGCATAGCGAATATTGGGACACAACTCAGCATAGCGAATAGAGGGACACATCACAGCATAGCGAATAGAGTGACACAATTCAGCGTAGCGAATAGAGGGACACAACTCAGCATAGCGAATAGAGGGACGCAACTCAGCATAGCGAATAGAGGGACACAACTCAGCATAGCGAATATTGGGACACAACTCAGCATAGCGAATAGAGGGACACAACTCAGCATAGCGAATAGAGTGACACAACTCAGCGTAGCGAATATTGGGACACAACTCAGCATAGCGAATAGAGGGACACAACTCAGCATAGCGAATAGAGTGACACAACTCAGCGTAGCGAATAGAGGGACACAACTCAGCATAGCGAATAGAGGGACGCAACTCAGCATAGCGAATAGAGTGACACAACTCAGCATAGCGAATAGAGGGACGCAACTCAGCATAGCGAATAGAGGGACACAACTCAGCGTAGCGAATAGAGTGACACAACTCAGCATAGCGAATAGAGGGACACAACTCAGCATATCGAATAGAGTGACACAACTCAGCGTAGCGAATAGAGTGACACAACTCAGCATAGCGAATAGAGGGACGCAACACAGCATAGCGAATTGAGGGACGCAACTCAGCATAGCGAATAGAGCGACACAACTCAGCATAGCGAATAGAGTGACACAACTCAGCATAGCTAATAGAGGGACACAACTGAGCGTAGCGAATAGAGGGACACAACACAGCATAGCGAATAGAGCGACACAACTCAGCGTAGCGAATATTGGGACACAACTCAGCATAGCGAATAGAGGGACACAACTCAGCATAGCGAATAGAGGGACACAACTCAGCATAGCGAATATTGGGACACAACACAGCATAGCGAATAGAGTGACGCAACTCAGCATAGCGAATTGAGGGACGCAACTCAGCATAGCGAATAGAGGGACACAACTCAGCGTAGCGAATAGAGGGACACAACACAGCATAGCGAATAAAGTGACACAACTCAGCATAGCGAATAGAGGGACACAACTCAGCGTAGCGAATAGAGGGACACAACTCAGCATAGCGAATAGAGGGACACATCACAGCATAGCGAATAGAGTGACACAACTCAGCGTAGCGAAAAGAGGGAACTCAGCGTAACGAATAGAGGGAACGTACTTTACTGTAGTTATATACATATAATATTTAGTATAAACGCATGTCATATTTCAGCTGACCTGGAAGAAGTCAGGATACAAGGCCAAAGTAGTGATGACCAAGTCTCAAGGTGGCGCTGTCATCAACCTCCTCTGTGGCGGTTACCCAGGCAGCTGTGCCCCTCTCTACCAGATGACACTTCACATCAATATAGCAAACAGTAAGTAACGTCGCCCACGAGAATTATATTCGGGTAAAGGGTTATATGCTTTGGTTCTACGATGTGGGGAGGGGGTGGGGTGGTGAGCTCATGGAGGTAGGTTTATTCACCTGCCTCCGAACCCAGGGCCGGGTACCTGGTGATCGTAACTCCCATATTTTGACATAGACTTCCGACAATCGCCTTCAGTTACGGCCGCGAGAAAGCGATAACATAGGGGGAAAACGAAAGCACGAGGCGAGAAGCGAAAGCAGGAGACGAGAAAGCGATAACAAGAAACAAAAAAGCAAGAGCAAGAAAGCGACAGATAGGGGAGACGAGAAAGCCATACAATGCTACGAAAATGCAAGAAAGCGAGAGAACGGGGCGAGAAAACGATTCAATGCTACGAAAAAGCAAGAAAGCGAGAGAACGGGGCGAGAAAACGAAACAATGCTACGAAAAAGCAAGAAAGCGACAGGGGAGGCGAGAAAGACATACAATGCTACGCAAAAGCAAGAAAGCGTCAGAACGGGGCGAGAAAACGATACAATGCTACGAAAAAGCAAGAAAGCGTCTGATAGGGGCGGCGAGAAAACGATACAATGACGCGGCCGGGAATCGAAACCCCGGACCTTCCTCTCTCCGTGCGGACGCTTTACCAGTAGACCAGGGAGGCGGTCTTGTTGCAGATAAATTTGTTAAATACAGAATGCTTTCTCGTTTCGTTTGCATGCACGCATGTGTTAGCTTTCTTGTACTGTAGTAAATTAGCAAGATTCACAAACACTACAACAGAAAGTCTTTTACTTTTACTTAATTTCGCAAAAAGGCCACAAAAAGTCCGCGATTTTTGGCCTCTTTAACTAGTTTTATGCCTAACACGAACATACACCACCACAAACCCCCTCTCTCCCCGGCGTTTATATCTCTCCATGTTTAAGTGAGTGAGTATGGTTTTACGCCGCTTTTAGCAATATTCCAGCAATATCGCGACGGGGGGTACCAGAAATGAGCTGCACACATTGTACCCATGTCGGGAATCGAACCCGGGTTTTCGGCGTGACGAGCCAACGCTTAAACAACTAGGCTACCCCACCGCCCCTCTCCATGTTTAAACATGGCCAAGGATACTTGTGAATGTTTTTGGCTATTCATATTATTTCAGATTTTATTCATAATACTACCCCATCCTTCCTTCAGTCTTAAAACTGAAACTTTAAAAGATACGTTGAACAGGAACAAATAATGAATTACATATAGATCACACATTGACAAATAATTGTCAGTATTATCAGCCACTCTTTGTATTGTGTGCATTGTCCAAAGACTTATTTTGCCGGCCATCTTGCAGAGTTGGACTTGACGCCGATACGTCCGATTTAGGAATGACAAGACCCGTGAAGATCCGGGGTAGAATAGGTCTTCAGCAACCAATGCTTGTCGCAAAAGGCGACTAACGGGATCGGGTGGTCAGGCTCGCTGACTTGGGTGATGCATGTCATCGTATCCCAATTGCTTGGATCGATGTTCATGATGTCAATCACTGGATTGTCTGGTCCAGACTCGATTTTTTTCCAGACCGCCGTCAAATAGCTGGAATATTGGTGAGTGCGGCGTAAAACAATAAACCAAACCAGAGATATCTGAAATGTCACAAACATTGACGCTTTGCAGAAAGCTGACAAATATAGAACTTGATTAAATACTCATTACCTATCAGCTCGCGATCGCAATACCTTCTGCGTTTCAAAAGGCAGAGTTGTCATGATGGAAATACGATTTGTATGTGTATTTGTCATGTCTTTTCAATTACCCTTGAAATGGTTCGTCCTTTGTGAATAACCCCTCAAGTTTATTGTAGGCATATAATCCACCTTACAGTAAGAACGCACATCGAAAAACCTGAACTCTGCGAGCATACAGAAATACATGTGTACTGACATTTAAATTTACTCAGTAAGTCTGTCATGACGGACTAGCAAAATGTATACGTCTTGCCAGTTTGAATTAAGGCTAACGAGATGAGATGGAAGATTCAGAACCCATGGAAAATCTAGATTTGTTTGATTTAGGGCTACCGTAAGGGGTGGGCGAAAGGGAAAATACTATGGTTAGGGACTGTGAAACATTAACATTGGGTTTGTTTTTATTTGTATATGGATACTGTGATGAAATAATGAAACTGAAGTAAGTAATTGGAGATTTTACGTGCGCTTTCCGACATTATGCGTATTTCGCACAGGGGCCCGCCATGCCATTTATTGGGTTTGCCAAGACGGGTATGTCCGAAACAGTGAGGGGTGATTAATTTAATTGAGAAAGTTGGAAGTTTTGCCAGAGGTTTGGGACCTAAGGGAGGGTGTGGTTGTGTGGTATTGGGTTTGTGTATTTAGGTTTTTAGATTTATGGTGATTTTAATTTTGTAGGTCATTATATGCGGCCAAGAAGGCCAGTGTTAATTATGTAGAAGCCTAATGCTTTGAAGATGTGTGTGCATCGTTTAGCGGATTTAGAAGTGTTGCTACTGTTAGTTGAGTGTTGCAGTCTAGTTTGGTTTGGAGTGTTGTTCCGTGTTGTTTGCAGTGCGTGCAGTCAGAGACCATATAGATCATATGTTCTCGGGTGCAGTGTAGTAAGTTCGAGTTCCCAGTTGGTTTCAGTGTGTATTTATTTATTTATTTATTTATTTAGATGGGAGTTTAATTTTGTGTGACCTGTTTGTAGTTTGGTTATTTTCCTGTCAATATTTTTGGATTTTTGATGGGTTTTTGTTTTTCTGAAGCATATGTTTTAGTTTACATTTGAGTTTTGGTAAATATTTTGCCACTTTTAGATAAGTTCCCTTTGCGATGCTCTTTATTTCGTTTTTTTTTTGGATATTGGTAATTTAAGGATTATTTGTTAAAGCTTAAGGGCTGTTTTGGCTTCTTTGTGAACGTGTTCGTTTCCAAACACTCCGACGTCGACAGGGATCAAGCTGAATTCTATTTGTTTATCTAGTTTGCTGAGTTGGTTTGAGATTTTAAGTATTTGGTGTTTTAGTTTAGTTGTTTTTTTGGTGTGTTTTGAAACTGAACTGTGATGTACATGCATGTAGACGCTCATGTAGGCCATGTAATACACACGTCTGGGGCGGTTGGGTAGTCTCGTGGTTAAAGCGTTAGCTCGTAACGCGAAAGACCCGGGTTCGATTCCCGACATGGGTACAATTTGTGAAGCCCATTTCTGGTGTCCGCCGTCATGATATTGCTGAGATATTGCTAAAAGCGGTGTAAAACCATACTCACTCATTCGCACGTCTTAATTGGTGAATCCTGAATTATTTACTCATTTCTTTGGAGACGACCCCATCTTAATCCGGATTAAGCAAGACACCTGCCTGACTGTTTCGAGAAACATTTGCATGACGTCCCTGTAGAGAATTAGAGAAAACTAAGCTGGTCACCGCCCTGCGATTAAACCGTTCAAATTGTATAATGTTGTTTTTTCAGTCTAGCAGTTGATGATTGGCCAAATAACACAAAGACAATGTTTCAAGCATGACACATCTAGAATTGTTAACGGCAATCTTTCACTCCGGTACAATATCTGTGAAAATAAAATTAATCAGCCTGTTCAGAATGCAACTGATAATGCCGCGCCATTATCTTGTTGTGAATAGTAACACACGCTGTCGTTTCTGAGCGCCGTCATGATGGCAGCTATACATCCAAAATGGAGTATCATCGAACAGAGGTGAAATGGGGTTTAACGTCGCGTCCAAGATTATTGCACTTATATAGCGACGTGCATGTACGTGTGTGTGTTTGTGTGGCTGCTTGTACTAGTCCGGACTGATGCCGATTTATAGTGCTAGCTCACTGAGATACCATGCCGCAGTTTAATATGAATACCCCACTCAGACACAGTATACTGACTCCGAGCCGACCAGTCCTTGTTTTAGCCCCTTAATGCCGAACGCCAGACAGGGTAACACGTCTTTTGGTATGACGCGGTCGGGGATCGAGCCCCGGACCGTCCGCTCTCCGGGCGGGCGCTCTACCACTAGACCACGGAGTCGGTCCATCGAACAGAGACCACATGCCGATATCGGTGCATGGTCTCTGCATCGAAGGAATATTTATAGTCTGTGTGAGCAGAGACCAACTATTAATCGTGTTTGTATTCGTCTATATATTTTGACGTACATCTATGCATGGAAAATAAGGCGACAACGATGACTATATAAATGCAGTGAACGCGTTTCCGCTAGCTTCGGGATCGGCTGCGCAGTACAAGCCGTAGCGCTGAAAGGTTCGCGCACAGGTAAGATGGCCGAACCTTTGGTCTCTGACGTGAAGTTTTTGTTGTTAAAATCGAAATTTCAGAATCAGGTGGTAAAAAAGCTCAAGCCAAATCGTTTTAGAAAGCGGCCATCTGATTGATCCTAGAACTCACGCTTCCGTCATTTAGATTAGGCTGGTCACTCATGGTTCACGTGATGCGGCCTTATATGGAGGTAGCATCAGATCTTGACACAGTGAGTGAAGGGACACTTATCCTGAGGAGAGAGCCGAAACAAATGAGAATCGGATGGTCACAATGTGTGACATGTAACTCCGTACCTCCTGGGTGTAAGTGTTGATTAGGCCTATGTTGCCAACAAGCTAAGACTCAATTTGCGAGTCCTCAATGGCGAGATGTGAATCTATTCACTAGATTTTATGGCGTTTCCCAACTGTTAATCTTGTTCGTTTCATGTCACCTATTAAACGTTGTTTCCGGAAATGTTTCAGATGCGAGTCCTGAAAGTGCAATCTGGATGACCTGAATGCGTAACCATGACAACGTTCTGACTGTGATGACCTTGAACTCCTAGAAGTGTTGCTAACTTTCCCGTGTGAATACAGACAGCAGTAGTTTATTCAATATTTTAGGCCATATGACCTATAGTACAGAAGTGGTTGGTCACGTGTAGGTAATAATAAGTTTACATATAATATTAACGTCTAGTTTCAAAATTCTTCTTCAGGAATATTGACCGAGATGATATTGTATTAGCATTGCGGGAGTTCAACAAATTTTTCATCAGTTGTTCATCTTTGTACATAGTTGAAATCATAGGGAGGTATCTATTTCTAAGAAACTGATAATATTTACAAATGAGACGTTACTGTACATGAAACTCATCCTCAACATAGCCTTCATTACAATAACGGCATAAACTACTTTCTTTATCTTGTACATTTTTCTTTCTGAGATTATTAACATTAAAATTATGTAATGATATACGTAATTTACACAAAGATCCTCTCAAAGTTCTATCCTGAAGTACAGATACATATTTTTCAGGAACAAGTAATGATTTTATATTCGTATAATGGCATAAAAACCTTGAGGATGATATTTGACAGTGCCAATCTTGTGAAAAAATAATCTTTCCTTAAGCATGAAGATAAATAATTTATCATTTCCAACATCTTGAGATATCCATGCAAGAGAAAAACCAGACATACAAAGAATATTCCTGATATCAGACACCCATAAACAATATTTACCCTTTTCATCCAAGGCTTTTAGCAGTTGATAACAATGAAGAGGAAATCTATTTTAATTCATAGAAGTAGCTTTATCCAATATTTAACTGCCCGTAGCTGGGATGAAACAAAAAGACTGGTACGACCAGTTTCTCCTAGAATAGCTTTGTTAGAAGCATAATTACCGACACCTAAAAAACGTTTAAAGTAAATGGCATGAATTTTTTCTATGGAATCATTATAATGACATCCCCATATTTCTGAACCATACAGAAGAATTGGTGCTATTTTTCTGTAAAAAATGTCCGAAACAACTCGGAAAGATATAAATTTGTTTTCTTTAAAAACTCTATAGACAGGAATTAAGGCTTTAGATGCTTGCATGCTGTTGACCATGCTAATCGAGAAGATACAGTCAATCCTAAATATTTATAATATGAAACAATATTGACTGTCTTATTACAATAAGTCCATTTTTCAAATTTATTTAAAATACCACCTTTTCTGAAAGCAATAACATTTGTCTTTTTCAAATTTACTTCAAGGCCCCATTTCTCACAATATAGCTGGAGAACATTTAACTGTTTCTGGAGGCCACTAACTGAAAATGATCATAAAGCAATATCATCAGCAATTAGTAACAGCATTATATCAATTATATCTTGTGACACAAAGACTCGGTAATCACATTCATGATACATTTCAGTTACAAGTTCATTTATGAAAAATATAAATAGGACAGGGCTGACTACACAGCCCTGTCTTACACCAGCTGAAGTTCTGAAACATTCAGTGATTCCTTTATCTGCCTTGATACATGCCTTAACTGATGAGTACATGCTATGTAGAACGTTTGACAATTTGCCTGTTAATCCTTTAGTAATTAATAAAAACATCATTTTCTTTCTATCCACATAGTCAAAAGCCTTTTTGAAATCGATAAAGGCACAATAAAAACGGCCCTTGGGTTTAATAAGATATTTTGTACACAAAGATTGAAGAATAAATATATTGTCTGATGGAGAATAGTTGGGTCTAAATCCAGCTTGGGATTCTGATAACAGGTCATTCACATCTAACCATGTTCTAATACGTTTTTCAATCACAACAGAAAACAATTTGCCAGTCACATTTAAGAGAGAAATACCTCGATAGTTTGGATCAGATATGTTTCCAGATTTATGTAGAGAAATAATCATTCCTATATTCCAGGAATCTGGAAAAACACCAGTATCTAGAATTTTATTAAAAAGCTGCCTAAGATAAGGGTTTATGGAATTTGTTATACTTTTCAGATATTCAGGGGGTATACCATCCTCACCGGCTGCTTTACCCACTTTTAACACATTTAAAGCTTGTTTTATTTCATTTTCAGTAATTTCACCTGATAAGACCTGGTCAGTAAAAGGCATATAATTACAATGTTGATATGAATGGGAATCCAAAAATTCCTGAACTGATTTATCAAATTCATTTACATCTCTGTTAAAATCTGGATTTAATAAATTCTTAAAATATCTAAACCAAGTGTCAGGAGTTATATCACCTTGTCGTGCGTTACTTCTCAAATATTGCTTTATAGTATTCCAGAACTCTTTACAATCACTCATATTTGAAGCCTCGGTTAATTTCTGACTCATATGTATTTTATACTCATTTTGTTTAGTTTTACACTTCTTTCTGAATTGTATTAATTCAGTTTTTGCACATAAATAGTCTTTTAGGTTTGAGTCACTCTTGAGTGATCTGAAACGATTTAGTAGCATGTATTTCTTAGATTTAAGTTGACACTACTCTGCATCAAACCATAACGGTTGCTCTTCAGAGGTTTTATTTCTAGACCATCTACAGACTGCCCCCGCCTTTTCCCCACAGTAGATAAGTATATCAGCTAATTTCCTAACTGCGGCGTTTATGTCAGTTTGCAAAACAGAAATAAAATCGTCAAACTTTCGGCTACTTTCTCTGCTAAAAACCTATTCTTGATATGCTGGTATTCTGTCTATAGGAAGCCTATATTTAGGAACAGGAGTGAGGGTAATATCAACAGTGTCCTCTGTAGCTTGCTTACTGTGTAACTCTGACGTGAAGACATGTTCCATACTACATAGAACCGGCAAGTGGTCAGACTCGGTTCTGTTAAGAACCACCAAATCAATAACCCTAGAGAAAACCTCAGATGATACAATAAAGTAGTCAACAGTACTACACCCAGTATGGGAAACAAAAGTAAAATCTCAATTTCTATCAGATGTAGATCTTCCATTTACAACATGGATACCTAATATTTTACATAGGTCTAGCAATGATCTACCAAAATTATTGATTTGTGTATCACATGACGCACGGGGTAAAGAGAAATTATCAGATTTATAGTCTTTATTTATAGGTAAATAGTCAGTCTCATCATTCATGATAAAGTCCTCTTCACTTCCTGTTCTAGCATTGAAATCACCACATACGATGAATGTACTCCCCTCCCCATAGTCATGGATTATTTGACAGAGCTGCTCTTCCAACTTGTCAATTCCAGTTCCATCTTCATTATCATAGACAGGAGAATGTTCAGGGTGAATATAGATGAATATCAGGAATAATTGCAGAGAAGAGGTTGGGTTTGTCAATCTAAAAAAAGGGGTATTATCCCACTGGCAGTAAACTTGTTTTTACTGTGACGATAGATATTTCTTTATGCATACAGCTATGCCACCTGAAAACCGACCTTTAGTTGCAGATCTTTTGGCATTACAGACAAATACATCATACTCATTAAATATGTTTCGCAAGATATCTAATGCATCAGTACACATTGTTTCTAAGAAACAGAAGATATTACACTGTTCGCAGAATGTTATGAACTCAGAATAGTTAACTTTTGATTTCAAGCCATGGATGTTCCAAATACAAAAAAACAGTACTGCGGTTAGGATTCTCCAGGGTCACATTATCAGTAGCCGATGTGTTTGTCAGCTCATTTGATATACTGGGATAAGTTTTAGATATACTGTCACTGTTTGTTGTTGTGTCAGGTGGATATGCATTTACCACTGGTAAGGAATCCGAGGATGTGTAGGAGGTAATATTGTGGCATCTCAAGTAATCACATTAAAGTCAGATTGAATAGAGGAATTCCTGTAAGTACTGAAGTCATGGCCGGAATCCTATTGAGTCGAATCAGACGCCACATGAGACGATTCAGAAAGTCGGTGTATATCTCGGGAGACCCATCCACGTCTTTGACCTATTTGTTTAATATTATGATTTTCTTCATCATAGACAAAAACTTTCCCGTCAATTACAAGTTTGTCATAATTGAGGAAAGCGGCCCTGCCTTCGTCTCGTGCTAGCTTCATAAAATACAAACAGTGTGAAGACATAGGGTTGAGCTCATTAAACTATTACTATGTCTGCTGTGGCGCGAATGAACCTTGTTATGGTTTTGTGAGCTCGTCACGCAAAACGACCCGACAACGTACCTTCACCAACCGTGAATACATACGTTCGCTTTATGGTGAAGTCGCTTTTGATAACAACCACAGCCTGGTTCCAGCGACAGGGACATTGTACAAACGATAATTTTTCTCTTGCAACATATGCCTCAACCTGGCGGCGGCCTACTCCTCCACACATTGCTTCAATATCAGGCAACCTTTGGATTCGCACAAAATTAATGCATGGTGTTCCTCTCATTTCACTTCTATGAGTATACACGGACTCATGTGATTGCTTGACTTAACGTTAGCAGGCGTCATCGTCCCCATGTTTTCACGGGTGACGGGGTCATCGTATCCGAATTGCGTGGATCGACGCTCATGATGTTGATCACTGGAGTGTCCTGTCCATACTCGATTATCTAAAGACCGCCGTTATATGGCTGGAATATTGCTGAGTGCGGCGTAAAACAAAGAAACAAAACGGGTGATGGGAGAAACGAAGTGTACACAACTCCGTGAAGCACTGACGTTGGATTTTATGCGGCCCGTTGCTATTTACATTGGCGGATCCAGAGGTCTGTGTGTAGTTTGTTTAATAAGTATATATTAGCCACTACGAACCTGGTGTCTTATCGCTGAAATGGTTAGTTGCGAGTCCGAGGCCCAACTTACCATTTCAACGGGGAGACGCCAGGGTACGAAAACGCTATCCTATCTAAACCATGGCCAACATTGGCCAACTCTAGCACATAAAATGTTTTAAAAACATTCGTTTAATAACCAATATTTTAAAAGAAATTAAAAAAAAACCTCCAACTGAAATGTTTAACTGCGAGTCGCCCCTGCGTGATGCACGTGAAATGCGTCGTCTAAGCCTTTCGCACGTGCACTTTCTTTGGCGACTTGGGTTATGAATTGCATGTCCCGGGGCAAATATACAATTAGTATAGGACCAACTCGAGCATATATATCAATCACCTAAATTTTACTTGCCCATGTTGATGGGTCTATTCTGAGCAAACAAAGCTCTGATCAAGGTGAGAGTATTTTGTTCATGGCTCGCACAGTTCAGAATAAAACGTAATGCCTAAAACCCACATGTCATAAACGGATAAACTATAAGTACTGATGTAAGTAAATACTTAGTGGTTCGTTTCATAAAAAGTCGTCTCTGAGGCCGTGGCAGGAGACTTCGTTAGCCTTCGGTGCGGACGTCACGGGTTTGAATCCCGCTGGTCACACTGGTTTTTCGTGAAGTTGTTCCACCATCAAGGAAAATTTGCGAATTGTTGATATGTTTGGGTGTGAGGTACACATGCATTA